GACCATCTGTTCTCCCACAGAATAATGGGCTGAGATTTTCCTGCTTTTATCACTTTCTTCCTTTAGAATTAGGAGTATTTACAGCAGGGCACTTGTTTATGCATACATAGATGGTTTGGCCTTTAATGTTTCCTATACTTGAAATTCCTGTTATCACTTCAGGAGATTGTTATTTACTGCTGATTAAATCTGAATATTTCTTGTGAAAAATCATTGAGGATCACTCCAGCAGAAATGCCGATTTTCTCCTCCTTCCATCTTTCTCTGTTCCTCTCTGAGGTTTATTTTGTTTGATTGATAGTCACCAAATCTGGAGACTGGAGACAGTGTGCAAAGTTAAAAGAATGTAAAAATAATATAAAACAATATAAAAGCACACAGACAAACAGAACACATTGGGAAGAAAAATGCCCCCATCAACTATCTACTGGTATCAGGATCACAAATCACACTAGTTTCAAAAGGCAATTTTTCAGAGTTTTTCAATTGGCATTAAGATCAGGGCCAGGTGAACTTCCAGGCAACAATATTCTAGAGCAGAGGTCCCCGACCTTTTGGGCACCAGGGACTGGTTCTGTGGAGAAAGGTTTTTCTACGGACTGGAGAGTGTGTGGTTTGTGTGCTGCCTGCATCCCACAGCTGGGCTTTTGCTTGTTTGTGCAGACCAGTTGCTGGCATGCCACGGACCGGTACTGTCCACAGACTGGGGTTGGGGACCCCTGTTCTAGAGGGTAGAGAAAGGGTGGCTCCAGGATCTTACAAGATGAGATGCTTCATCTTATGGGAACAGCAGAAATCATTGGGGAAAAAGTGGTCCTATGGTTATTTATGAACTGCCTTTCTTCAATTAGGAGAAAGTCCAGGTAGGGCTTTACAGGTGACAACCAACATCTGCAGATGGAATGGCTATCCAGTGGAATTTATTAAGAAGTACAGCAGACCATATGAGCCTTGCAGGAGCCAACACATAGGCACACCTATGGCATGGACAACATTGCCGTATATCAACGGTGTGTCAGAGGCAACAGCACGGATATTAGCCCCATATAATATTAGCATTGCCCATAAACCAGACCAAACCCTCCATGCTAAGGTAATGCACCCTAAAGAGCCTCTTCCCAACGAAGAAAGATCTTCCGTGGTATATAGAATAAAATGCGAGAATTGCCACTGCAATTACATTGGGGAGACGACTAAATGGCTCAAGACCCGGATTCACGAGCCTGAGCTGGCCATCAGAAGGCAGGAACAATGTTCACAAGTATGGGCACATATGGCCAGCTGCAATCATACGTTCAACCTTGGGGGGGGGTGGAGACCATTGCCACCAAGGGCGGCTGACTACTTAAGGAGGCCTGGCCATCCAACGGACACTTGATCAATCGCCACATAGACCTACTGCCTGCTTATCAGGCATTAAGGAAGTGGGAGGAACAACGTAACAACTTGTGATGAAGGCAACGAGTGCCGGCCATGCAGGATCGGAATGGCTGGCCTGTGCAACAACGAACTACAACTGCCGAAAGGAAGGAATCCCCAGTGCATCCTGTGCAAGAACTAAAGAGGGGGCCAGGGTACAGCCAAAAGGAGGGGTGGCCATAGGACAGGAGGCATTAGGGAACCAACCCACAGCAACAGGCACTCAGACACGAACCAGGCAGACAAGGAGAGCAACCATAAGGGAGGAAATGATCCCTGAGTTTAAGAACACACAGACTGATGCGGGACAGCTAGAAACAATACAGCCAATTGGGGTGGGCAGACCGGTAACTTGCTCCATGAGCAGAGTGCAAAAATGACCGGCTTTATAAGCAAGCTTCCCAAACACCAGCATTTTACTCTGACGATGTTGGCAGTTAGCCAACGAAAGCTAAGTGTATTAAAACAGTTTTGTTTGTATTTTATCCTGGTGTTCGATTATCTTCTTGAATATGAATATACCTGGGATCCACTATTGAGTATAGGTATTAGACAGCAATACTAAGCAGGGCAAAGCAGAAGTAAAGTGAGAATGGCATGGCTATTGCAATTTGCCAGATATGTTTTGTGTATTTATTTGATGCCTGAAATGGCCTTTTATTTAAAATAGCCAGAGAACCAAGTACTGTGCTCTGTTTTTGATGTATCCTAAAATGAACCTCTTGGTTAAAGTCTTCCCCCAATATTTGATATTTTTCTTATCAGCAGTTATTGTGTGAATAAAACCAGTAACGAATTAAGTAGGCTGGTCCATAACAAAAGTCTGACATCCATAATTACACAAAAGAACATGTGTTTTATAGTTCTCATGAACTCTTCAACTGAGAAGGGTTTTTTTTTTTGTACAACACGTTTCTAAAGTTATTTGCCTGCTGTGATTATTCTGCTGTCAAAATACATGCATACATACAGACATACACAGTTTTATTGATAATTATTTTTACGATAGTTATTTTTTAATCCGGTCGTATTTTGTATATTGAGAAGGAATATTTCAGTTTAGAAGTATAGGAATATTTTTAAACCATAAAGTATATTGGCAGGAAATGTTTGTAAGCAGGGGGATGCAAAATGTGTCATAGATGCTTCAGTGGATACTGCAGTGAACCAGGGGGTTGGATTAGACCGCAAAGATGCTTTGCAAGTATTTTATGAAAGGCTGCAGGCTGAGGTCTTCTCCCAAAGCCCCAGCCTTTCTCTGGGCATCTGCATGGTGCAGTAGATATTGATGTGTGTTTGAGAAGAGTGATGCTTCTCAACCCAACCCTTACATATATAATATGATATGGAAATATACTTGTTTACCTATTTTTAAGACCAAACCACACTGGTTTTGAGAGTTTCATTATATTCTCTTTCCATTCATCTCCTGTGCTCCACAACCATTATAAGTTCAGGTATGATGGATGTGAAAGTTAAATAATGTTAACTGTTTCCATTCCCTTAAGAAAAAAAGAAGAAGCTGTGATCAAGTGGCAAAGCACAAAATAACTAGGACCTGGAGATCAAACTGGGAATTTTAAAAAAAATCTCATTTTAAAGTATTTAAAGTGGAAGGAAAGGTATTCATGATATGGAGAAGAAAAAAACATTTCCTCTGGCTAAAGCCAAAGCTGCAATTTGTTGCTGCTGACCTCTCTTTTGAAATGTTTTAAGATTTCTCCCATTGTTTTCTCCAGACTGAAAGGAAGAAACCTTTAAGGCCTTAAATAAAATTTAGACCAAAAGAATCTGATCTTTCTGAGATGCCTTTGTTGAATTACTGTATATTTTTATCATAATGTTTCTCTGTTAGCTAACAAAATAGCAATACCTCACGAGGGGTGGGGTGGGGTGGGGATGCAGGGAGAAGGTCTTCAAATGAACTGAGCAAACCACTAAATTATTAGGATAATCAAACTCTTGACTTCTCACTACACCCTCTAGTACTTAATGCTCATCTTTTTAATACAAGCTACTTATTTTTTTGTAATGACTAGCATATTTTGTATTTTTCTTTGAGAACTTAATTTAGGAATGTCTAAACTTTTTAAAAATCATTTTGGCACAGAAGAGCAACAACAGATGAGAAAGTGGGACTATCCTGAATGGTTTGGGAACACAACTGCTCTTAAGTTACCACTTCTTTATTTTTAATATGCCTATAAGGAATAAGATTTTCTGTTAAACTGTCTTTGCTTTGTGCAAAATATCTTGCAATTTTCAAAAGTCCGCTTGCTCAGTTTTGGCAAAGGCAGCATTTCTCTTTAATTAAAGACAAAAGTTCCTCTGTTTTTGGTAGCTGCCTCACCTATAATCTCCTACACATTCAGAAGGGCTATAGCTGTATTTTCCTACTCCTCCTTAGGCAAAAGCTGGTCCAACCACCTGTTAGCATTACATCATGGGCTGTGAAACACACAGTTGTACCAAAAGCCCTTAAACAAAGTGGTGCTTCTTACATTGTTTGCACTCAAAGAGCTGATGTCATGCCAAGCTGATGTCATTCTATGTCTTTGTGTCAATGCCATGGCAACCAGGCAGGTGGGGAGT